AACAATCGAGAAACTTGGTCAGGTGATCCTGTCAGGGGCAGGTTCCTTTTACATACCATCTAAGAATCAATTCAAGATTTGTTCAGGGCAAGTCATTCTCAGATTTGGTTTATCCATAATATTTTTAAGACTCAGACTGGGGCAGACCTTCCGAGGGTACAGTAAAATAGTCATTTTCACGAATCAGATAAGCTGAAGCAATTATCAGTTCATCTACAACATGCGGTTTAATTTGGGGCAGTTTACTTGAAGGATCCCCAGGCAGCTAGTCATCCTTCTTACAAGGACCATCAACCTGATTACATTTTATCAGAGTGGCAGTGATGTATGTGTTGAGGAATCAGTCTTCCAGTCTTGTCATCTCACCAAAAGAGTCGAGCCTTGTCGTCGGCATCTGCATTTGCATTTGATCATATATCATAGCTTAATTCATATACATATACATATCATGAGTGTTTCATCCTTATTTGCATTTCTCTTGAGGTCGTGTTTTATCCACTTCTTACCTTGTGGTCAAAGTCCAACTCACTTGGCACCTACCAAACAATTTTGTGTCGTGTCTATCTGACGTTCTTCCAGATATGACATTTCTTATCCGATGGTTTTCCGGATATGTTTGTTCCTCTTACATCCCATACCATTCTCATATATTGTGTTTATACCTTTCATTCAAAGTCATTATCGGATGTCTGGTGTCCTTTTTATCCAATGTCATTCTTGGAGGTCTCATTTTGTTTCTCTCTCTGATGATCTTCCAGGATGAGTTTATGTTCTGATGTTCTTCCAGAACTTCTTTGTTGCGTATCTGATGATTTTCCGGATAAGTATGTCCTTATCTTATATCCCATACTATTCTCATATATTGTGTTTGTACCTTTCATTCAAAACCATTATTGGATGTCTCGTACCCTCATTTCTTATTTCTCTTTCTGATGGTTTTCCAGATCGAGTCTTTGTTCTGATGTTTTTCCAGAACTTATCTGATGGTTTTCCAGATATTCTTTTTTATTCTGATATTTTTCCAGAATCTATCTGATGGCTTTCCAGATACGCCTCTTTCTGATGGTTTTCCAGATCAAGTCTTTATTCTGATGTTTTTCCAAAACTTATCTGACGGTTTTCCAGATACCCCTGTAATTCTGATGGTTTTCCAGAATCTCATCTGATGTTTTTCTGAATCTGTTCTCGTTCTGATGTTTTCCCATACTGAGTTTTTGTTCTGACGTTCTTCCAGAACCCCTTTGTTGCTTATCTGACGCTCTTCCAGATATGTCCTCAACTTGTCCCGTACATTTATTGCTTTCCTAAATGTTTCAAGTTTACCTTCAGAGACTTGTCTTCATCTCATGCTCCTATAGATGTTGTTCTTTTGTATCTGGATGCATCCTAGAGTTATTCGATGGTTTTCCAAGTATCTCTGGTGTGTTTCAGAGTTCATTCGATGTTCTTTCGGATGTCCCTGAAATGTGTTTTTTTGTCCCCGAGTTTATTCGATGTTTTTCCGAATATCTCTGGTGTGTTTCAGAGTTCATTCGATATTCTTCCAGATGTTTCTGATGTTTGTTTCTCCTTGTATATTTTCCGACCATTCCTGAAGATCCCGCTCAATCTCTTTGTTTAAAGGAATGTTCCAAAAACTCCAGCACTTATCGTTTACCTGATCCTACCGCCGTGTGGATCCTGTGTTATCGTTTCATCCTAAAGTGACAGTTGGCTGTGTCTGCCCCGGTTGATCCATCACTCTAGAATTCCCCAATTGTCGCATTGTTCCACCAGTGCGTCGTATTCCAGAGTGCAGTTACTCGTCACGTCTGTCCCTTGTATCGTCGTGTCGTCTGCATTCTTGCATTTATCATTCTCATCATACGCATCATATTAAAGTCATGGCATTGTCAGCATTATAGTTTGTTTCGTTTTGTCCATAACATTGTATATCGCTGCGTCTAAGGGTAATATTTTTGGTTATATGTATTTAAATCCCTCCACCGTGATTCCTCGAGTCTTCGCTGCTCAAATCATCCGGTGAAGCTATTTAAATAGGGGCAACTGTAATACCCCAAAATTTACCCTTATATTAGTCGATTCATGTCGCATTACATTACATTTTTTGCATTACATTTAACTAACCACTAACAAGGTTGTGCAATTGGTCGATTTTTGCCAGAAATAATCATGTGGTGCACTTTAACTGTTGAGGGGCAAAATGGTCATTTATTCACCGTTTGATGGCAGTTTAGGAAGCAGAATCATCGTCAGGAATCCATCGAGCGATTAGGGTTTTCGTTTCCAAGTTCCGTGTTTTGGATGGGGATGAAGTGAATTTTACAGTAAGTTTGACGTCGGAATTTTCGAGACCAGTAATTTATTCGAGGGCCGAGACTTTTTCGTCAGTAGATTTCGGGGCTGTTGTCTAATTATATGGGGTTGATTATGGTGAGATGTCAGTTTGTTTGGTTTAAATCGGTGCGGGAATTCACTCTGTGGAATTTATTTTAACGGACACTTATTTTTCTGCTTCTTCTGCTATCTGCCAATTAATTTTAGAAGGAAAGCAACAGAAAGTTCGACTCGTGTATGCATTTATTAATCCGTTTAATTGTGATCTTTTTTGGCTGAGTCGGTTCAGGACATTGGATTTAGTTAGCAGAAACACAAATTGAATTTTTAGTGCGGAGTATAGTTATGTTTTTGCTGTTAATCGTATTTCTCTGTTTCTTTTCTGTTTCACTTCGTTCAAGGCCATTACCGATTCTATCATCATGAAGAATTTAATTTGGGAAAATATTGGAGGAACTGAAGGTTATATCAGTTTTAAGTGGAGCAGCACGTGTTGGGATGACATAAGTTGATTCAGAAATTTATTTTGGAATTTATTCGTATTAAACTTACATGGTGAATTTAATCCGTTTGTTAAGTTTAATCGGTTAATTTTTAATCAGTTGAGTTACTCGGAGGTAATCAATCATTGGGATTTAATTGGATTGTTGTAAGAGAGTCATTCGGTTTATGGTGAAATTACGAAAAGAAGAATCAGACAAGTTTGGATAAAAGTATTGTGAATTTTATTCATATTATTTTTATTATAAATTACAAAGGAAAATTAAAATACATTTGATTTTCATTTCTAAGTCCTATTGTCTTCATGCCGATTCTTCATGTCTCTTCACCCGACTTTTTTCTCTTCGTACCTGCATAAAACAGACGAAACAGAGGAAAACAGTTGTCATGGTAAAGTTAGAAAGAAGCGGTTTTTATTGATCTGATACCCTCAGTTATCCAGCATCGGGTATGTCGGGAAGGCAACGACAAAGTCGAAGCCGGCTCCCGACTCATATCTCGACCTCGGCTACCAACCGGAAATATCTGTTCTTTTTTTTCGGGACGGCCAGAGGAAGAGAAAAAGAAGTGTTTTTGGCAAAAAGTGATTATTTGGATAAGCGTTTCTGATAAAAAGGATTTTTAAAAAAGTGATTTCCCAACCAAACAACAATATCCAATTTCATTAAGTAAATCGTGTGGATATGCAAAACAAAATCAGCAGCACATCAGAAATATCAAAATCCGTATCCGTTTCCATTCAATAAATCCATGGATATCCGATAAAGAAAATATTGATTATGTGTGAAACCGAAAAAATCAATCTGTTGCACCCCAAAATTTGACCAACCTCTTCTTTACTTGGTTTATGTTTCATTTCATTGTTCTAGCATATTGCATTACATAACATTCTACATTTACAGGGGATCAAGTGTTTGTCTGTGCACCACTCAAGAGGAAAATCTTTATTGGTTTCGAGCTCGAGCAAAGGCACTGGTATAAACCATCAGAAGACTGTCAAGGGGTCCATAGGGTTTTATCATTGGTGTGAGCATGAGGTAGAAGTTTGTTGAATACCTCAGAGGTCATGGAGGAGTGGAAATGGTCACTCAGTTCATCTAAACAATGCTTAGGCAAAAAAGGATGAAATTAGGGTTTCAATTTTAATCAGGATAAAACTTGTTATCAGATTGGGAGTGTGAGGTGTGGTTTGGGCATTCAGTGGAAGTTTGATCTAATCTTGATAAAACAAGTGTTTGGTTTCAGTATCATGTTGTCAGGTGGATAATCATCAGAACTCAGGATTGGGTAAAGTGGCAGTGTAGTTATCAGCCTGGGCTAAACTTATATGTTTCATGGTGGAGAATCATATGGAATCTGTCCCCCTCCAGTTAAGATTTTATGCAGCGCATTGTGATTCCTTAAGATCAAAACAGGTTCATTTGGTCCATAATGTTGTCCAAAAAGATTAAAAGTGAGTTTTGTGTTTCGTCACAATTCAAAGGGGGCTTTAAGTTCAAGACTATTTCAACTTTATTTTTTGGTTTCATTGATTCAAGATTATAATCCATTCCATATTTAAGAATGACTCATTTTTGGGTTGAATGTGGTTAACATAGAAACCAAATTTTAATTCATTCATCTCGAGTTGGATTTCAAGTAAGATGGAAATGGTTTTAAGTGTACTCCATTTAAGTTGGTAAATCAAAACTAAGGCACAAATAGCACATTCAAAGTCCATTCCCAATTATGCAAGAATTTGTTTTACAACGGATGCCCATGGACCATAGTATGTTTGTGATGATAAATCAATTTACAAAGGAAAAAATATGAGATACAAATGACATTTGGAAGTACATTGCAATTGCAACTTGTAACAAAAGATCATTACAACAAGTGCCAAGAAATAATAATAAGAAAAGGCTCCAGGGTGATGCTTCACGCTAACTTGCAAGCATGACCAAGCAAGAGACCTTCTACCCATGTGGCATGTGGTTCCCACCTTTCTTCAGCCAGCAAAATCTGTACTACCAAGACTATTTTGCGACAAGACCATTGCCAAAATGCAGAAAGCTACAACAACAAAGTAGCTGCTTTCTCTATTGTGACCGTGCTACTATTTTCGTGCCTATGTTACACAACATCCGACTACTTTGATGAATAAAATCACCAAAATGTGAAACATGTACCCTGCACAAAAACAGACAAGTCAACTTTGCAAAACCTCAAAAGCCACAACAAAACCGTACCGTCAAGAAAACATGCCGCTTGCAAAGGGTCTTGTTGGACTTTTGCAAGAAGCGAAACAAGAAGTTCCTTCATGGTTAATCCAATATTCCCAGTCTTCAGCACCAGGTGGACGTGGTAGCTCTGGATCTCAACGGTCGCCTTGGATAGGCAATTACGGTGGGCGCGATTTCCGGACTGCAGCAGAACCTGTAAAGGTGGAGAGTTACAACAACTACAACAGTAGTTACAGTAATTATGGTGATAATGGTTTCAATAATGTTCAAGAACAGGTGCAGAATTACAACTACAACAGTACCTATAGCAACGGAAGAGACCATACTGCCAACACTTATACTGATACCTCTTTAGACATCCAAAACTCTAACAACAATGCCACCTTTGACAGCACTAATACAGAAATTGCTGGTGGATACAATTATCCTGATGTTGGTTTGTGTGAAGGCAGTGATGGCATAAATGGGCCATGTGGGTATGCATCTGTTGTGCCCACTGGATGGGACTGACTTGGCTAGTGTCTTGCTCGTTGCATCCTTTTTGCTATTGATTTTGATGGATAAGGTAACCATGCATTCAGTAATGCCGAAGAGCAATTAGCTAGAGATCCCTAACTTTAAGATAGTTCAAAATCTGCTGCAAACCAGACAAACCTCTACACAACTTCAGATCCCCAAACCTGCTACACTCAACATCCACACCAGACCAACTCTGTTACAATCAGCTAAAAACCCTCCAATAACCACCACAAAGAAATACCCCGACTATTTGTCAAATTCTTGGGACTACCTACTAAATGATCCAAAACAGTGGCTGGATTTCCGTGACAGCAAACGCAGTGGATTGGTGAGTCCAAGGTACCCTGACTTCAAGCGCAAGGATGGCAGCGTTCCCATCTGGATTGACAAGGCTCCAGAGTGGGTTCTGTCTAAACTAGAAGAACTGGAATTTGACGTTCCAGCTGTTAAATCCAAACAAGCAAAGGACAGTAAAGGTGATGAGTCCTGGAATGATTTGTTGCAAAATCCAGCTAAATGGTGGGATAATAGATTAGACAAGAGGAATCCAAGAGGTCCAGATTTCAAACACAAAGATACTGGTGTAGGGCTGTGGCTTAATGATTCACCAAGTTGGGTGTTACCAAAATTGCCACCCGTGAAGCCTAAACAAGAAAGTGCTCAAACTAGCTGAAAACAAACACCAGTTTCAAGAGCATTATAAAAAGAAGCGGAAACTGAAGTCTTTTGTGAAGTTGGATACATCTTTTTTGCCAGTTCTCTCTGTTTCCCATAGCAAACACAATAGCCAACAAAAAACAGCACAGCCCACAGGCAATACCCTGCTGCAAAACAGCCCCACACCAGACAAACAGCCATGCCAGACAAGCTCTGCACCAACTGTACCGGCCTGCTGCACTCTGCTACACAAGCATACTCTGCTAACAACAGCAGCCTGTAAAAAAAAACCATCCCTCAAAACACAATAAAACCACCACTTGCATAAAACACTCACAACACATCTTGAATCATACACACAAACTACACTTCAAGAATATAAACCATCACTCCTTACTCACAATAACAGACTCCAATCTCTTTAACATATCACCATTCACACCCTTCATCATCATCAAACACAACCTTCTAACCTTCAAGACTCTCACCTTCACATTTCAAACCTGCAGAACAATACCCTAACCGAAACTCAACTCATCACCTTGCTCGTTCCATAACAGAGGTGATACTCCTCTAGCTGCAAAACGAGAACTTCATACACCCCCATTCTCCCTTCAAAACACTCTAAAAAAACCTTCAACAAACGCTTTCTCCGATTTTAAATCACAAAAACTTTCAGACAACAACTCAGAACTTCAACCAAATCTTCAAATCTCATTTACAGGGTTTCATTCAACGTTTATCTTCGAATTCTGCATAAACCCTTTCAGTAAAAACCCACATTCCTCCATGAATAACAAACTTATAAACCGCTCACTCACCAAATCTCCTTCAACCTCCATCTTTTTCTGAACCCAGCTTCGAACAGACCTTCTTCGAATCCATCTTCACCATTTATCAAAACCTCCATGTATGAACACCTTCCAAACTGAAAATCACCTTCAACACAATCCAGAAAATCATTCTAACCGTAACCACCGTCTTACCACCTTCAAAGCTCTCAACCGAAACAACCACAACAAACCCAATCCGCAACATCGCCTCCGCCGTGTCCATCTGAAACCCCAGAACCATATCCGTTTTCTTCAATAAAACCTATTTCAGAACAAAACCGGAAAGATTGAGATGAAGAGAAACTCATAGTGAAACGTAAAAAATATTGAATCTAGAGCTGGATAAGAGACAGAGACGGAGTGAGCAAGAACCTGGATTTAAAAGGAACAGACGAAAATCAGGTCGAAAGTTGAACCTTGCTCATCGTTGTTGCCCGATTTAAGGTGGGATTGTGATGATCCTCTCTCGTTTTTTTTTTTTTTTTTTGCGAATATTGTTGTTGTTCGATTGCGATTCACACTCCTTCCATGGCCGCGTTTCTATTGGTGTTGCTCAATCTGCTCGAATGACGATACGCGATGATGGAGAGGATTCTCTTCTGAGCGATATTCATCTTGTTCGACCCGTTGGTTTTTTGAGTGGTGTTGGGTATCGGGTTTCCATGTGGGGCGGTGGGTTTTAGCCCATTTGGCATACCCCATTTAATTCCCATCTATTCTGTACACACCCTTCGCTTCTCTTCTCTTTCTTTTGTTAAATATTAATTTGTATTTTTATTAATTTAATTTTAAGATTTGTTAATAATATTTTTCTGTTTATATATAAAATTATATGTTAGTTTTGTTAATAACATTTTATAAATAAGTTATATATTTCATAGATTTTATAGCATTTTGTAAGTATATATTAGCTTTGGTTATTATTTTTTAATGTACATTATATATTATATATTCTAGAGTTTTGTGTATATACATTTTATCTAGAAGCTTATTTTCTATTTAGAATTTGGATTTCATTTTTCTTTTCAACTTTATTTCATTTTTCACCGTTTTGGGTCGATGACGAGACCTCCGTAATTCATTACCAGTCAAATTATTGATAAGTAATGTTGGATCTGAGACCACCCCTTTTCTCTCTTCATTACCTGTCCCGACTCGATTCAAAAACATTGTCAAACCATCTTTTAAATCATATTCTTTATATTGAACTAAACGAGGGGATTAAGTGTAGACTTTCTTCCTCTCCGAGTGTCGAGATGCCCACTGTAGTGAGGGTGGTTTTGACACTCGTCTTTCAATACGAAGACGACATTCTCTCTCTTCCTAAAAACCTCGGCTCCGCACCGAGTGTATTTTCAAAAAACCTCGGTCTCGTACCGAGTCCATTTTCAAACCATAATAAATTGATTTCTCTTTATATCGAATTAAAGAGAGAAGATTGGGTGTAGACCTCTTCTTCTCCGAGTGATGGGATGCCCACTGTAGTGAGGGTGGTCTCGACACTCGTCTTTCGATACGAAGACGCGACTTCTTCCACCACCTCTCCTTTCACAACTTCCTTCCACAATTTTCACACCTAAAACCTCGGTCCTGTACCGAGTGCATTTTCAAATCTTTTCATAACAAAAACTTGAATGGTCGTGGAGTGGTTAGGCGTAGGCCTTCTCCTATCCCGAGTGCTGACGTTTACCGTAGGGTTCTCTGTCGCAAAGCACTTACCATTTAAAACCAAAACATCTTTAATAAGAGAACGAAGTTCTCTTTACATTGAATTCAACGAGAGGATTGGGTGTAGACCTCTTCTTCTCCGAGCATAGGGATGCCCACTGTAGTGTGTGTGTGTTGCACCCTAAAATTTGACCAACCGATTCTCCTATCTGACTCATGGTTTAATTTCATGATTTTTGTGCACAAGCGGAGGATATCAGAGTTTACAGCTTGATTTTTGTCTATCAGATATGGCAGACCCAGTCTAGATCACCAGGGTTTCATTTTCGGGAAATTGCGCGCTCTTCAGTGATTTTTAGCTTGCACAGTAATTTTGGGGATATTCTGATGCCCGGGGATCTCTGTTCGATTCGATCTGGTCTCGTGTGCGCTTTTATGGCGGTCATTTGCATTCATCTGCATTTTTAGGATTTTTTATAGACTTTTGTGAATTTTTAATAGGCTTTATAGATTTTTCTGGAATTTAAATAGGTTTATAGAATATTTTAATAGCTTAATCCTCTTTTTAGAATTTTATAGAATACTTTAAATAGATTTTAATCATTTGTAGAATTTTTAATAGAATTTAGATAGCTTTTATCATTTTTAGAATATTAGTGAATTTTCTTAGCATATTAAATAGAATGATAAAAATTAGGATTAATAGGTTTAATTGTTTTTTAAAAATCATTTTTAGAATTTTCTATAGATTTTAAAATAGGTTTAATTGTGTTTAGATAATATAGAAAATAATATAGTTTTTTCTTTTATTAATGATAGATTTTAATTGATATTAAATGATATTAGGATTTTAATAGAGAATTAGTAGAATTTTAGAGTTAATTAGATCTTAATTGATTTTTAGATTTAATTAGGATAATATAGAATTAATTAGACTTTTAATCATTTTTTAGAGTTTAATTAGGTTAACTGAATTTTAGAGTTAATTAGATCTTAATTGATTTTTAGGTTTAATTAGGATAATATGAGTTTTAATCATTTTTTAGAGTTGATTAGGAAATTAGTTAATTAGGTGTTAATTGTTTTGATTAGATATAATTAGGTTTAATTGTTGTTTATTTTAATTCAGTTTTTTACAGATTTTTTTTGGTCATTTTCGTGGGCCAGAGTCCAGTTTTTGAGGCCCAATTCTCAGTCATTGTTGCAATTCAGAAGCCCAGCAAAGGTCCAAGTCTTTCCAGCATAGTCCAGCAGACTCCAGGAGCTTCTAGAAGGTGCCACGCGTTTTCAGTGGTATAAAGGCACGCCACGTGTGGAAAGGAGAGGAGGTCCACGTTACGCACACTCAGACTCACACGCGTTCACTCTCATTCTCTCTCCGAGGACACGCGGCGTGCATGCAATCACGCCACCACACTCAGACTCCCCCAATCCTGTGCCACTTGTCTTCCCCTCACCTCCTCACCGGAAACTCCCCTGACCGGCATGCAAGTCCGGTGAACCCCCACCGCCGGCAACCCCAACCAACTCCGGCCACCACCTGAACCACCAGAAAACCCAGAATCCTCCTATCTTCATCTTCTTGCTATCACCAACCGCCGCGCCTGAATCACTCCGGCCACCATCAAACCCAGAAAAACGCCAGAAATTTCCAGATCTAGCCACTGATTCATCCAACCATCTTCACATAATCTTCATCCACCTCCACCACGTTTTCCAGATCGTTCGCAGAATCATCACCATCTTCATTTTTTCCAGGAGTTCGTTCAAGATTCAACAAAACACAGAAACCTTCATCATATTCGTTAGCTTCTTCAAGGAATTCCCAGAAAT